AAGAACCAGTCCTACTGAACCAGAGAAGGATTTGAACTTGGCTTTGCTGAGTGCAGTGAAAGGATAGAAACACATGTTCTGCCATCGTGTTGCTGCTGTAGCTTTTGGTAGACTGGGGACAGACCATGTATTTCTCTTGCGTTCTGCTAGCGAGGACACCTCTTGCTTAGCCTTTCCAGTGTCCGACCCCCCTACTTCTAGTAATAGAACTGTCATTTCTCCCTGGGAACTACCTCATCTCACTGACTATAGTTTTGGTGGGACCATCCCGTATGGTGACCCACTCTCCCCTGGCCAACGAGTAGGCAGGTGACGTGAAAGAGGCCAGTAGGAGTCTTGCCACAGAGTCTGACTCCTGAGCAGAGTAACACCATCACTGAAAACAGAGGTGGAACATCCCGATACCAGAGCCCCCCCCCGAAGAAGAGGCTGTAAGTGTTACTTCCTGGATTCAAGGAGGTGCTTTGATCCGGCCTGTTCTTTTTTAGTTCTTCTTTTTTTTTTCTCCCAAGTTAATCCTTCTAGTAAGTGTCTTTGGGGGCTTAAATTACCCAGAGTCTATCTCTGTGGCTTGCAGCTGGGTGGTAGAGCCTGGAGATTGGAAATCTAGACTCTTAAATCAAACAAACCTCTGTTCTTATCCCAATTCTGCTGTGTACTCAGTATGTGACGTTGGAAAAGCTGCTTACCCTTGCCAAGTATGTTTTCTTATGAAAGGGGGATAATAGGGGTACGGAAAAAAATGAGCCACTGTATGTGACTTGCTTAGCAGAGCGATTTTCTTATCAATTCCTTGACAAATGTTCGCTGCTCTGATTTGCCGTGGCAAACCGAAGAGAAGTATGTTCTCCCCACCTCAAGCTGAGACCAGATAGTTTGTACCATATTAAGTTTAGACAGATCTCAGGAAAAAGATTACAAGAATGGAATTTTACAAAATCAGAACTAAGGATTGACTGAAAACATACCGAAGCAGAAGAATATGGAGGATTTATTGGGCCAGAGGTTTTTAGACTTCAGAGTATTAAGAATCCACAAAACCATGTGACCCAGTGTCTTGATTTCAAATATTTAAAAGGTCCGATTCCCATTTTACAGTTGAAGTAAATGCTGACTTTTCATTCAATGAATATGAATCAAGTACCTATCGTGAGTCTGGCATCATGCTAGGTTCCTGGGACAAAGAGGAGAAAGACAGAGCCAGGAGCGGAATCCAGGCTGCACCCAGAATCACAAGGATGCATGGATGCTATAAACATACATGAATATCAGCATGACTACTGGATGGGCAGTCGGGAAATCTGATTTCTAGTTTTGGATCTGGTACTAATGACCTGTGCTACTTAGGGTAATGCTAAGCCCCAGGAACAAGCAAAATCCCCAGCTTTTCAGCGATTTAGCAAAAAGTAATTCCTTTGCTCACAGGACTATTCAGTATGGGTATTTCTGGTTAAGGGTGGATGTTTTCCATTTGATGATTTGGTGATGCAGGTCTCTTTTCCATCTTGTGGAATCATCATCCTCCAGGGCCTCAAGAACCTCTGTGTCTAGTCAGGAGATGGGAGGGGGACTGGAAAAAGCTCGGCTGCTTCTTAACCTGAGATGGTCACGGTGTCTGCAAAGCCAGGCAGTGACACTTCTGGCTTTCCCACCCGGTCCACTGATGTGATCACGTGGTCTCATTTGGATGCAGAGGTGATGAGAAATGTGCTGCACCTTTCCAGAAACAACTCTACCATATCAAGGCGAGCAGAAACCATTGCTGAAGACCCACCAGTCTCTGCCCCTCTGAAAACGTAAGACTCTGGGCTTCAGTTCCTTGATATTAAAATAAATGGCTTTGACCTCCAGATGACACATTCTGTGGTTCTAGAAGTCTCTGAAAATTAAGAGATGGTGAGTCTTTACCTGATTCACCATATTTAATATTCCACTTATCCATCAACCTAGACACACACACACATGCAGAGTTGAAAACAGAGGGAGTATTGGATCATTATATTATACTATCTTGGTAATTCTTTGTAGCCTTTATCTAGAAATACTCTACATATCTTAATTTACTGCCACACATGCCATACCTTGAAAGGTAAATGTTTTATATTTATATATATATATTTGTGTGTGTCAGGGAATGTGTAAAGTTCAACTTTTCTAAGGGAATCTGGCTTTATTCATCTTGAGTAGCAAAAGATACATTGGCTCTCATTGAAACTGTAAGCTTTAATTCTGAGGTTAATTTTTTTTTCTTTCTTCCCCTTCTCATTCTCTTTCTCATCCTCTTGTTTCTCCTCTTCTTCTCCTTTTTCATTTTCTTGAGTAGCTGAAGGGACACCTAAATGAATTAGTTCATTTAGTGAAGATTAGTTCATACAGTGTAAATCAGGAGACAGGAAATTTAAGTGTGGGTCTATGCATATGCAAATTGGACTGGGCTTCATACCATGGCAAATATCTAGCAAGAAAATTAAAGAGAAATTAAATCTTACTTCCAGTATTTCCCTATGTTTGTACTTGGGTGAACTGGAACTGAGCCTTTTGATATTTAACAATGTTGTCTCTGCTAAGTGGACTTGACCTCTTTATCCTGCCAATATTTTTCAACCAGAGTTTGTATAAACATTGCACTTGTCCCATGTGTTAATTCAAATCAAACTTGAACACAAGATGGTGACGGCAAGCATTCATGTTCTCTTTGTCAGCTGTTTCAATCAATCACTGGCCCAAAGGTTGGAAATAGAGCTGACAGTACTACCTCTGAGACCTTCTATCACACTGTCTGTTAACTAGGTTTTTTTTAATTGAAATATAGTTGATTTACAATGTATTAATTTCAGGCATAAAGCATAGTGATTCAGTTATGCATATACATTCTTTTTCATATTCTTTTTCATTATAGGTTATTAAGAGATATTGAATGTAGTTCCCTGTGCTGTACGTCAGGACCTTATTGCTTAGCTATTCTGTACGTAGTCGTTTGTATCTGCTTATCCCCAACTTCTAATTTATCCCTCCCCTCTTTCCCCTTTGGTAACCATAAGTTTGCTTTCTATGTCTGTGTGAGTCTGTTTCTGTTTTGTAAATAAGTTTATTTGTCTCATTTTTTCAGACTCCACAGATAAGTGACATCATATGATATTTGTCTTTCTCTGACTCACTTCACTTAGTATGATCATCTCTGGGACCCTTCATGTTGCTGCAGATGGCTTTATTTCATTCTTTTGTGCAGTAGAGTACTACTAGGATTGTTTTAAATAATAATGTACATGGCTTGGTAAAAATCTGCAGACCAATTCCCTTTCCCTCCCACAGCCGTGACTACTAGGTGTAAGACTGTAGGCACGAGGCAATTAAGCAGTGATTGGTCAGTTCTCTTTCCAGTGGTGGAGACAGATATGCAAAAGTAATGTGTAGAGAAGTAATCTCCAAGAGCTCATTGCTTGGAAGTCACAAAGCCGGGACTGCGCATTGAGACAAAAATGATGGTGAAGAGGCGACCGTTGGCAGGCAGAGGGGCAGCAAGCACAAGGCCCTGCAGTAGTTGGAATCACAAAACATAAACATCTCATCTTGGGAGAGCTTCTGCATCCACTTCATCCATTGCTCTTATTTAACAGAGGAGGCGGCTGAGGTGTGTCAAGGGGCAGGTCAGCCTCTAGACACTAGAATTCAGGTCTCCTGTCCCCCAAGGCAGCCCATGCGCCATTATTCCAGGATCAGTTCGTGACACTGGAGGTGACAGGCTCTTCCAAATTCTACGTTGTATTTGCTAGTTCTTTGCTTTCTTTTAAACAAATTATGATAGTGTGGGTTTTGGTCTAAAATGATCTATATCCCTGCTCAGGTATTGGTTTCTTTCCTAGGACAGAATTGTCTGTTTATTCAGTTTTTACTGAGTACTTGTTGGTCTCACATCCTGGACCTGGGGTGGGAGACAGGGTTCTAGCCTGGAGGTGAGAGAGACGACATTACTGCTTGCTAGATGTTTGGTCATGGGAGAATCATTTAATTTCTCTTTTTCTTTTCCTTCTCCCCCCTCTAAAGCAGGGCTCATGTGAATGCTTATCCGATAGGGTTGTTATAATAGTAAAATGAGTTATATATGGAAAATGCTTAAAACGGTAACTGGTAAATATAAGGGAAATATAATACCCTTATTTGAGAAGGTTATAATCTAATAAAGGAAACTGACATTAAAGATATTTTTAAAACTAAGTGACAAGTTGCGTTATAGGGAGGCCCTGGTTCTGGGAGACCACACAGGATGGACACCTCCTAGGCTGGAGGAAGTGGGGGCTCCAAGAGTCCAGAAAGGTATCTCATCTGACCCAAGGCCTGGGGAGGGCCTTCTGGAGAGGGAGGGCCTGCAGAGGAGAGGATCATGGTACTTCCTGGGCACAAGGAGCTCCACGTGCTCCATTAGAAGCAGGGTGATGGGTGGGGAAAGGGGCAGGAGTCTAATGATACAGGAGAAACACATGTAGGTCAGATCCCATGGGGCCTAGTAGGTCACGTTAAGAGTTCAGACTTGGTCTTCAAGACAAGACAGTCCAGTTGTTTGCAAATCATTTAAACCAACTGTTTTGTGATGGGAAACATGGGAAAGAGAACTGAATGCATTTATTTTCTCTAACTTCATCCTCATGACAGCCCTACATAGGAAGCATTATGACAGCTGCATGAACTGAGGATCAGCTCCCAGGACGGTACAAACCTAGTGACAGAGCCATGATTTGTATCACTGCATCAGACTGTGGAAGTGTCTTCTGTTATACATAATCCATTAATTTAAAAAAAGTACATGTAAAAGCTGAATGAACAGAACTGGGAAAACCCCAACTTCACATGATACGGAGGAGTTTTGCTCTGTGAAGCCAAAAGTTCGCCAAAGTTTTTAATTTTGCAAACGTTGTTTTTTTTTTAAACGATTGGTTTGAAATGCAAATAGTAGAACTCATGTCTTATGCAATTGCTTGCCTCAAAAATCAAATCTGTTTCAGCTTACTTCACGTGACATTTGGTACGACGAAGATATTTATTCTAAAATGCGAAAGAGTGGCTGGCTGGTGATGATTTTGCAAGACTGATGAGGGAATTCAGCATGAGACTGTAAGGGTGACTTTCACGGGATTTTACAGGATTTCCTGAAACATTTGTCAGGTGAGAGAACGAGACTATTTCTCTTCTTGGCGAGGGGAGCCCAAGGCAAGCTCATTCCTGACAGCTGCTCTCTGCTTCCATGAACTTCTCAGTCTGTGGCGCTCTGGAAGGGTTTTTGGTGCCAATTTTCATAATTTCCATGCTTCTTAAAGATTTCTCCTTGTCTTTCAATAAGCCTGATTTTTCAATACAGCCCCAGATGATCTATCTCCAGAATTTCCTATATGTTCTTTAATTTGCTCCTTGCTCTTCCCAATTGAACGTCCAGATGCTCAGCTTCAGTCCACCAGGGTTTACAATATAAACAAAGATCCCCTGCTTTCAGCACACCCAGTGGTTTCCATCTTTGTCTCAGTTGTCTAACTGCTAGTCTTCAGCATTTCCGTTTTTCCCTTTCCCACTCATCTTTACAAAACATTAGGGCAAATTGCAATAAAACATTGAAATAATTGCACAGACGTGGCTGCAAAGGCCAGTGATGCTGCAAAGTATGTCTAGATTCCAATTATGAGGTTGGTTTAACCATGTCAATGTGAAAAGCAAATGGGTGGAGATCCAGAACTGCTTTAATGAATTGATTTAACCAACACACTGTCTTAGGGTGACTTCCCCAGAAGCAGATTCCGGCACTAGGATTTGTAAGAAAGTGAATTATTTTAGCAAGTGTTTTTATTAAAACCTCCAGGGGACTGGGGAAAGGAGACAGGGAAAGTAAGGCAGCAGTCAAGGGTATACACTCATCTTGGACACAGTGAGAAAACAGGTTAGGAAGGCCCCGTGGAGGGGAACTTTGCCCACGCCTGTAGGTGAGTCTTGCAGACAATGTAAATCACACTTCCCAGCTGTCCCGATCAGGGGATAAGGGAGCTGGCGTATTCATACCCACCACCCTACTCTGTGGCCATTGGCCTGGGCTCCCCAAATTCCCAGTCTTCAGTTTTCTGTGCTTCGGTGCAGGTAAATTCAGCTGGCCTTCCGCAGCCATGGGGGCAGCCCTCCAAAAAGAGTGAGGGCACTCTGGGCAGAAGTGTGCACAGAGATGGCAAAGGGATCCAAGGAAACACAGAGGAGACCTTTGCCAGGCATTCTCCTAGGCTGCAGTGAAGAAGACAGCATGGGCTCTACCTACTCTCACGGAACTTACAGCTGGGTAGGAGGAAAATTGGCAATAACAAATGAATTGCAGGCTGTTATACATGCAATGAAAGAAAAAAAAACAGGACAGATATGGAGACTGAAATAATCTACTGTATATAGATGATCAGTAAAGGATTCTCTCTGGTGGTGACTTTTAAGCTCTGGCCTAAATGATGACAAAGAGTCAACCATTTGATAAGGCGGAGAGGGGAGGTTTCCGTGGCTTACATATGCAAAGTCCTTGAGGTGGGAAAGACAATGGCATGTTCTGTGAGCTGAGAGAAGACCAGAGAGGCTGGAGCCCAGAGCCTGAAGAGGGACAGTAGCCCAGTTTTCTGTTGCTGCCTAACAGACCACCCTAAAACTTACTAGCTTAAAACGTATCTTGCCCCTATAGTCATTCTGGGGGCTGGATGGGAGCTGGATGGGAGCTGGATGGTCAAAGATGGCCTCACTGTGGCAGCTGCTTCTGGTTCTTAGATGGCCCATGTCTTTAGCAGTCTAGTTTGGGCTCCTTGATGTGGAAGCAGTGTTCGATGGAGTGAAGGGAAAAGCTGCCATGCACCTTAAGGCCCTGCTTCAGAAGGTATGCAGTATCACTTCCATCAAATTCTACTGGTCACAGACCAGCAGAGAGTCAAGAGATCAAGAAAATGACTTTACCTCTTGTTGGGGGGCACTGCCCAGTATTTAAAAAATCTACCACAGGAAGAGGCTATGACTTGAGATGTGCCCAGGGTCATATTAAGCAGGTCATTGTGGACCATGGCAAGGGGTTTAGACTGTTGAGACTTGACTGTCCAGTAATTAACATCCACCCTCATCCTTTATCAAGATCTAAGCCACTATAAAAATAAGTTAAAGGTATTAAGATGCCTGGACACCAAGTTGTTCCTTTATCTCTTAGAATGTGGTTTGTTTCTGGGAACACATGGAGTCGCTAACAGAGAACTACAGAATTAAGCAGAATTACCCAACTGGTCACTGACAAAGCTCTTCAATTATTAGATGCATGGTTTTGAGCAAATTGCTTAACTTCCATGTGTAATTGAGAATAAAATGAAACAATGTTTTCTAAGCATTTAGTTCAGTCCATGGCAGGAGATGAGTGTTCAATAAAGTTTGTAATTGTTATTAATAAAAACACATAGCTCTGGGCAGCGATTTGCATAGAGTCCAAGGAGGGTGGCATATCCAGTCTTCTCCTTTCACCCCCTTTTTGAACAGATACTGTTCCTCCTTTAATCACAACCTTTTCCTTTCCTTTTTCTCCAACATTTTTGACATTTACTCACATAGATATCTCAAGCATAAGAGTGAAATGGGCTTTGGCAGAGAAGAAATGTGCAGATTTTGACAAGTAGACCCTTGGTTTATCATCTTAGTGAAGATGTGGGTGAATTTTAACACCAGTAATCAACAAATCTCATTCTTTTATTCAATTATGAAGACAAAAACTATGAGAAGTGATACTTGGCATCATCTGGTGTAACTCTTTCTAAGAAGACAAATATTTCCTCTCAGGAGGACTCCATTAAAACACACATATGTATATGATATAGGCTCAGATATGCACATCCAACCAATTGCTTCTGTCTTTAACACTGTAGAGTATTTCGGGCAATCCATAAATTCCATAATTTATTGGATGTCATTGCTCATACAGAAAGGATCGTCATTATCTGAGACATATTTATGGACCTGGTTAATACTAAGTATTTAAAACGTAATTAGAGATTTAAATCTAGACAAGAGACTTCCACCAAGTACCCAGAGATATGCAATTTGCTGCCCCCCTTCCAGAGTGAGCTAGCCAGAGGTGGAAAAACTATTACATGGTTGAATGAAAAGGAAACAGAATAACAGAAATAGCCTCCATCCCTACAGAGCAATGGCCTATAAAACAGCTAACGGGAAGAAGAAAATGAAGTCTCTCAATTAAAAAAGAGAGTGAGAGGGAAAGCGCACAAAGGGAGGCAGATGAGAGACCAAGGCTGAGAGATGCTGCATCCATGAAGAGACTATAAGCATTCTTGGAATCAGCTTTCCTTGCATGCTAAGCCACCTGCCCCTGCCATGTGACTGGTAACGAGCAAAGCCAGGAATCGATCTCAGAGCATCCAATCCAAGACAGGTGTGCTTCTTCCTCTGCCAGGGTGCCTGTGGCATCAGTTCCTCCCCTCCAACCAAAGATCATGTTGTCCTGGGTGGAAAACCATGTATTATCCTTTCCTTGGTATTCTCTGTAGGGTCTTCCATCTCCTGCGCACATCTTTGAAACTCAATATTCATTGACTCTTGGAAAGTTTCATTGGCCTGGGAGTAAATGGACACTACTTTCCTTCTTACCCCTAGCTCCAAAGGCTTTTGGTGCCCTCATCTTAGTCTTAGAAAATCTCTTCTTAAAAAGGACATTTACAGCAAGCGTGTGGCAGGTTCATGATTCACATCCAGGCAGGCTGATTGCAAAGCCCATGATTTTACCACTTCAGTCCTTGTTTGGTCATTAAGACTCTCTGAGCCCCAGGGTTTTTCACTTTTCACTTGGGGCTACTTTGTTTACCTCAGGCAGCTGTTGTAAGGATGAAATTCGATTATAATCTAGCTCCTTAGCAAAGTTCCAGGAACTCCGTGGGCACTGGTTAAATGGTAGCTACCGTTGTTGTTGTTGGCAATGTCTGTCACTGGCTTTCGACTTCTGCCGAAACCATCTTGTTTGAAAATTTCACAAAACAATGAGTCTAACAGTTTTCATCCTAGACCCTCTCTCTTTGGGACATTTCTACTCTCATCTGTCTTGTTCACGCCCATCTAATCATGCCAAGTCACAATCCTGTCAGCCAAGCATCCACAATCTTTCCTCACCTCTTATTCTTGGTTAATTTCACACGTTTTCCTGCTGGTGAAACAATACTCAGAGTTAGTACAACTATGACACTTAGCATGCAAACTGTGATGTGCTTGAGACTGAAAGGACCATGCAGGGCAAACCAGATTGTGTGACCTTCCTACCCAGAATCCTTTGCAGGACTTGAAACTCATCCATTTGCTCCTTTAGGTTTCTGCATTGATTCCTATGGGAAGCCCATGTCCTTTCAACTCAAATGATGCCTTGCATGAGAGAGAGAAAGAAAGAGA